TTGGTTTGTTTAAGACTTCTCTGGAAATCATTGTTTATTTCAGCTTGTAAAACATGTTGTTCAGGTTGTGTAACTTGATTACGGAGGAAATCACAGAAGACATTCACAACATAATATTACAAGGAAATAGCTGGAGTATAGTGTTGGGGAAAAATATTAAAATAAAAGTTTTGGCTTCCCTTAATGTAGCATTATGGTGGTAGGAAATCTCTATTCTATTTGTTCTGTTCTATTTTGTCCACTTCCATCTTTTGACTCAAGTACTATTTTTATGAAAAATATGAAAACTTTTTTTAGAGCTGCACCACTTCATCAAATGAAATATCTAACATAGGATTCTGCTCTTGCCAAAAACCTTTAAGCCTCTTAGTGTTTTGAAATCATCACTACTTTTAAGATAGTAGTAATCATTTGACAAAATTAAATATTCCGATACTCCTAAATGCACTTCTATGTAAAGGCAAACATGCGCATCTGCACATCAATGTAAGCTGCCTCTAAGTCACAGTGACAGACACTTGAAATCCTGCCTCCTAAAGAATAAGGCATCCATGGCTGAACTCCCACTCGCCTCCTCATTCCTCTTTCAGTGTTTCTCTGTCTGTTTTGTTCTACTCCTCTTCTTCTTTCAGATTTCTCTTTCCATTCTGTCTTTAATAGAGCTCGTCCCGCTGATGAAATTTTGCTAGGCGTAAACCTGAAAAGTAGCACTTATTTTCCTAAACACTTGATTCACAATTCCTTGGAAATGTTATTCTTCTTTCAAGCAGTGCAAGGAGGTGGGCGCAGAGACATAATGCTAGGAGACAGAGCGACTGGCAGAGAGACAGGGAGGTACATTCACTCAGTCAGATAGTCAAGGTGATAGAAAAACAGGTGATGAAATTGATAGAAAAGAAATGGAATGGAGGTAGATGGATGAGTTGGTGTTAGTGGAGCAGAAACAAGTAGGCGAGAAACCATGAAGCAAGCAAGAGACCAGCAAAGACAGAACCGGAGACAAAAATGGCATGTGGGCACAAACAGACGACAACTGCGCTGTGTGAGAGAGACAAAGCAAGAGGGATGTGGTTTTGTTTCTCAAAGCGGCAAACGGGTCTTTAGCTGAAGCATCCCTTACTGCTTTATGCAGTTGACTATCAGCTTGGCAGACACCTACACATTAGAAACACACGTACTGCCCAATGAAGTGAAAATACGGGTCTGCACACATAAACACAGGCTGTTTGTGTATGCCTGTCTGTTTGTGTGCACATGTGTGTGTGCGTGTTTGTGTGTATTATGGCTTACAGCACATACTGGATGAACAAAAGAACTGGCTATTGCAGCATGCAAGGCTTCAGTTGTGACTTTGAGTAGGTTACAGTGACTACAGGTAGGTTGGCACACTTGCCTCTCTCTCTTGCACACACACGCACACACACACACTGAGTAAATACCATGATGAACAGCAAGAGAGAGGAAATCTGGATGAATATGAGTTTGACTTAAAAGCAGTTTTTGTCGTGTTCTTACAATACACAAGCCAAGAGAATCAGCAGTGTGTGGTTGAAATAGGTTAAATTCCACTCTGAATCAATTCTGATGAGGCTATAATAGGCTGGCCCACTGAAAGAAGATACACAACACCCCCTATCCAGGTCAGCAAAATCACAGCCTCAACCTCAATTCAGCATCACACACAACACCGACCTTCCTGTAACTGACTTGAATGAAGATAAGCCTTCAGATGTGCGAGCCAGCTGTAATGTTAGTTAATGTCTATATATAATTTGATCTATAATTTGACACACTGTGGCGGCCCGTCTCCCGCACATCCGCCTTTTGCAGCCTCCTCTGCTCTGTGCCGGTTGTTATTCAGGGAGCACTGTCAGGTGCAAGAGAAGGAGGAACGCGCGAGTGCACACATCAATTTTCTTACACACAGACACGCACACACACACTTTTTCTTTTTTTTCTTTAACAGAAATTAAACGTAAATTAATCTTACTCTCAAAGTAGATAGGTCGATTTCGTCCAGGCTCCGTGCTGGAGAGTCACTCGCCATGATGGAGGACACAAAAAAGCGACTGTCTGTTGTCCGATATCCAGAAACGGTCTTAGCTGTCACGACTGTGTGGTCTCCTCTGCTGCTAGGTCTCTACTATTCCCCCTCTCTCTTGCACAGTGATGTGTCAATGGATGAGAAAATAATATCAGTCCCTTTCTCGTCAGCAGCTGGACGCTCCTCGGGCCTGGAGCGCACAGCTAGAGCGCAAACGCGTGGATGATAGAAAGCGATAGCACCGTGTACATCAACACTTGGAAGTCCATGTCTGCGGGATGTAGACCATACAGAGTAAGGTGAAGCAATACGGAGACTGATTTGTTTCTGGTACAGAAGCTGCTGTGACAGCCAGCCAGTAAATATAGAGAAGGAGGGAGGTGGGAGCCGCTTTCCCTCAGCAAACCACGCCTGTTACCGGGCGGGGTTTACTGAGGCAGCGAGGACTTCCAAACTTTTTTCTTCCTCATGTTTAATAGCAATGTCCTTGTACAAAAGAAAAGAAAAGAAAGGAAAAGAAAAGAAACTGAGTGAAGATATACTTTCTGATTTTTGCTTATATTTCCCTGTGTACTTTTGATTAAATAGAACAACTATGTATATTTTCTTTCTTTCTTTATTTTTTTTCAAAAAATCGGTATATTTTAATCACAAGGTATAAGAAGACTAAATGTAACCCGGCACAACACACACACAAACACAGATAATTATTGAATCCATCAAATGTAAACACACACACAGCAAGTGAACTGCTGTCTGTTTATCAGGTTTCCTGTTACCTTGCAACCGCTTTCCCGAAATGCCTGAAGCGTTTTCATAAATCTGTGGAAACATGATAAACAACGAATAACATTCTCATTCCACCAAAGACAATACGAAACCTCTCTGGTCTCTGTATCCAACTCTAGGTTCCCCTGAATTTGCCTGAGGGCAAGCAAGAGACAAGAAAAACACAGTAAATGATTTATTTATTAATCAATTATTAAAAAAACAACGACAACAGCAACGATGCTACTACTACTACTGATAATAATAATAATAATAATAATAATAATAATAATAATTCTTATTATAATTATTATTATTATTTTATTTGTATAGTACTTTTCTACAAAGTGCTTCACAGTGTCAATAGAAGCCACAGATTAAAGTTAAGTATGCCTGTTCAAACATACAGACACATTAATGGACACTAAATCAACAGTACGGTCAGACATTCATTCCAACATACACACTTCCATACACGCAAATAGTTGTAAAGTATAGCCCAAAGCAAAGAGGGAAATTAAGGGAAAGCTTATAAAAATGTGTATTCAGCAGTTGTTTTAAACAAATATCAGAATAGGTCACCTGATAGAGGCTAAGCGAGGCTGTCCCAAAGTGGACTCTGCTGATTCTGTCAAACAAGAACCTTGGATTTTGTTTATCATTATTAACCAAACCAGCAACATAAGATGTGCCAAGATATTTTATGAGTTAGTTTAGTGTGGAGGAAGTAAAAAAGTTTCCAAGTATTTACGTTACAGAACATCGTAAAAATAGCATTGACTTCCATCCAAGTTCAGTCAGTGTAGAGTTTAATATTATTAGCACTAGGCGAGGCAAGCAAAGCAATGCCAGTAGAAAACAGATGGAAACATCAAGACATCAAAACACAAAATTCCACACTGACATACCTGTGAAAGGAACTTCCTTTTCAGGGGTTTTCATCATGCCCTTAACTGAAGAGATTTCTAAGGAAGAAAGTTTATTTGGGTTTGACATGTTTGTTTTTTTTCCATAAAGTGCCAAACAAAAATAAGAACAAGGAAGGAGGGCTGTTTTCAGGAAGAAAAAATGGAAAGTTAATTATTTCCCAGCTGTGTGTTTTTGGCTTTACACAATTAATTTCAAACAGATTTTATTTTAGAGAATGTAGACACTCAAGCAGATCAGAGGTTTTTTGTTTTGGCTTTTCTTGTCACATTTTGGAGTACTGCCACTGAAACCATGCATGACTTCACAACAACCTGTGTCATGTGCTTAAGAGAATTCTTAATGACACATAAACTAAATTCCCGATCAGGTAGCTTTATATCCTTATGTTTCTAAACCAGCAAGCAACTAGGCCATCTCACATGCCATAACATGCAGCCAACGACATTCTACTGAATAAGGCCTCCTGAGTTTTATGGAGTGTCATTTTCCAGAGAAGGGAGGAGCGTTATGTAATCAACTGCCTTCAAATGGAAGGACAAAAAAAAAAACTAAGCCTTTAGCATTCATGCTCTTTATGTTTTGCTGTTTCTTTTATGTTCCTTATGTGCTTCCTATGAAATCCCCTCGTTTGGGTTTGTTAGTACTTCTTTTGCTATAGCAGAGCTGATTGCACACATGTACAAGTGGCCAACGCCCCGGTGATTTTTCACAATAAAAAAAAAACCATTCGTTTAGCATATTATTCTCCACTTTCCACTATATATGTTTGCAATTTGTAATTCTCCATATAAATTTTAATGTTTGGTTCATAGACACAGTGGGTCTTTTATACAACAGTATAGTCTTTCCTACCAGATTCCCAAATAATATAAGATGTCCTTCAGCCTAGCTTTTGCACCCAACTTTTATTCACAAAGTTAATTAAACATATTGATTATTGCAAATGCTGCTGATTTCACTGCTTCATGAGAAAAGAAATACAAGTTTGCTGTTTTCTGGGAGTTAACAGGTTCAACAGTTCTTATTTCTTATGCAAGAACCTACCTGTTTGTTCATAGTTGGAGCGAAAAGCCGTTGTTTTACTCATATTGATGTGTACTAGAGATGGGAATGTAGTCACACAGGAATTATAAAAACATATTATGCAGGAGCCTGTTATTAAAGCTGGTCTGTCAAGCCATATATCTTAGAAATGATCAAGTTTCACAGCTGTGTCTACTTTCATGTGAAAAGGAAACAAAAAGTCCAAAGATATGCGTATTTGTTAGTCATTTTAATTACATAGTTTCAAATGAACAAATAGATATCGGAAATCTTTAACTGTACAAAAAGGTTATTGTGCATAAACTGAATGAAGGCAAGAGGTCCAGAGAGTTTACAGAAACAACAGCTTCAAGGTGGGTATGAAAAAGAAAAAAGTCCAAAATCATCAGTGTGAACGTGACATACATTTAAAAATAAATCTTAAAGAATGCTCGATTCTTTAAAATCCATAAATAATAAACAGGGCAGACGATAATGTCAAATTCAAAACAGTTAAAAAAGTAAAAGTGTTTTAAGCACTTTATTTTACATCTGCCAATTTTGTGGTCCCAGTCATTTTCTCTTACATAAATGGCAATGATTCACACATTGGGTAGACAAAGGGTTCTGCCTTTTCATGACAAAACTGGAGCTCTATGCCAGGTCAAAGTAATTATGTGCTTGATTTGTAAAATACATTGCGACTCCAATGTGTCATAATTACCGGCTGTGCGATTCGTTTCTAAAGAAGTGTTTTTTTATCTTCACATTTAGGGGATGGTGATGCTCAAACAAGACAATGTGGAAAATATTAAAAATGAAAACAAACTGGGTAACACGAGTCCATACTTTCACATTTACAAAATATATAAACTGCTCGTGGATCACCTATCGCAAGTATCTCGATAAAAGGTAATTTTACTCTGAACTGTTACATTACAAGAAAAACAAAACAAAAAAATAAAGACTTTGAAATGCTGTTTTCAATCTGGAACTACACAGAAGCTGGAACGAAGCAATTTCAAAGCCTGACTTCATACGAAAGCTTTACATCCAGCTTCATCTGCATGCTTAATGACAAACATAATTGCTGTAGTTTTGCTGGGTTTCTTTTGTTACAATGTTCAAAATCCATTTTCACTCACCAAGAGGACCTTAAAGATCCTGGAGATCTTATTTTCTAATTTTGCAACTGATTTTTAGGAAGCTAGCACCATCTGCTGAACAAAGAAGAAATTTCTCTTCTCAATGGGTACGCCGATTGTCTTAAAAAGCCACTGAATCATTTTAACAGGTCACAAAACATCTTCAACAACAAATAAAATGTCAGTGATGAAGTTTTGTTTTTTTTCTCAGAGGTGCGATTGGTACAAGCATCACGGCAATCAGATTTCAGCATAGTTAGTAAACTGTGCACTGCTCTCGAAACGGTAACATTGTCTCTGTGCAGTTGGCAACAAAGTAAAGACCAAGCATAACTTCAATTTCTTACACAAACAAAATCTTCAAAACACCTCTGAGATTACATGCTTGTAAATTTAAATAATTTATCAAAAGCAGCACATACTTAACAGACAACTCTTCCGTGAGCTCATAAACAGCATACATGGCACTAATGCATGTTACGGGCATACATAACGAACTCAGTTAATCACATTTTACCATCTAATGTTTAGATTTTGTGATTTCTAAACAGAGCTGAATATCTGTTAGTGTCATAAATTGGTTATAGACTTCATCATCATGGTCCCATACAAGCTTCTGCCATCTTATGAGCCTTTTGCACAGTTCAAAGGTCTAAGCATCTAGAATTGAAGATAAAGTGATTCCCAAAACCCAGTCTTCATGTTGTCTTTCCACATATTGAATGCAGTCACACTGCTATCATAGGTGCCCATCTTCTTCACATAATACATCCAAACACTAACATGCTATAACTACTGTCTAGTGTTTTCCAGTAGCAATAGATCTCAGAGATTTGTCATTGCTCAGCAATCGTATCAAGCAAAAAGAGAAAGTTTTAATCTGACTTTCATCTCAGAAATCTATTATTCAGAAGTGATCTCTTGCAACTCCAGTACTGAACATTTATCATCATTAAACTGTAAAAAACCACCCAGAGGCTTCCCACAAGAGGCCTTCTCAAGGAACAGTCCATTTCATTTTGTGAGTAATGGGCTGAAACCCTTCATGTCCAGATCTCAGTTGGAACCATGGCTTCCTTTGTCCCAACAGAGGGCATGAGATTTTGCTCAGACAGGAAGTCCAGAGGAAATTGCACTAGGAAGCCACGGATTTTGCGCAGCTCCTCCTGAGCTCGGGCAAGATCAGTCTGGGCCAAACCTGGCTTGGACTGGTACTGCTCCAACTCCGACATATTTCTAACAAGGGATGAAGGAAGGCAGCGAAACACCTGCAACCAAACATATGCCTCATTAACTTAAGTCAAGGTTTGTGGCAGTCTATCTGAGTGGACCGTGAGATTTTAGTTAACTGTTCTGTCCACGAGTTTCTCTGAGAGTGAAAGACAAACTCGTGGGCAGTTACAAAATGGGCCAAGGTAGTGCTGTGTTCAGATAAAACTTTAGCTAAAATATGGTCTGTGCTGAGTTTAAAACATGGTTTATCTCTGAATTATCTCTTTCTTAAAGGCACAAACTCAAAATGATTACCTGCCATTCACTAAACTGAATGTTTTCTTTCCACATGTGAAATGTTAATGTTTACTCTACCTTCTCGTAAATGGTGGCGTTGCGGCCAGCTGTTGTCATCCACACCTCCTTGTAGAAACGGTCACTGATGGGGTCAGAAAGGTCAATGCTGGTGTCAGAGTGTCCTCCAAGAATAGTTCTGTTCAGAAGGGAAAGACAGATAGAGAAAATGTTTTAGTGATTACAGAAATCACTGCTTATTATTGCAACTATCTAACTAGGCAGTCACAGGGCAGCAACACTTTGTATTTAGGCATGTAAGTCTGCTGAAGCTCAAAATGAACATCAGAAAGGGAAGAAAGGTCATTTATGTGACTTTAAAAGTGGGATGGTTGTTGGCACCAGCCAGGCTGTTCTGAGTATTTCAGATGTTGCTAATCTACTGGGATTATTCCATAAAACCGCATCTAGGGCTTACAGAGAATGGTCCACAAAAGGGAAGATATACAGCTGACTGGCAGTTCTCTGAGGCTGTACATGCCAGAGGTCAGAGGAGTAAGGCAAGACTATTTCAAGCTGATAGCAAGGCAACCATCTCTCAGGCAACTCAAATAACTACTAGTTATAACCAAGGTATCTAGAAGAGCATCTCTGAACACACACAACACATCAAACCTTGAAACAGATGGGCTACAGCAGCAGAAGACCACACCAGGTGCCTGTCCTGTCAGCTAGGAACAAGAAACTGAGGCTACAGTTCACACAGGCTCACCAAAATTGATTCATCTTGCCTTCTATCAACAACTCAAACAACTACTGGTAGTGTAGTTATCTGTGTGATATTTTCTTGCCCCTCTTTGTGCCCCGTAGTATAAACTGGGCAGTGTTTCACTGAGCCTGACGGCTTCCATGAAGACCGTTCCCCATGTCACAAAGCTGAAATCATCTAATACTGTCTTAATTATATTCAAATGGCTTCCACGGTTACCAGATCTCAATCCTATGGGATTGGAATAGGATTAAAAAACAATTCTGGAAAAACTGTGTGATGTGATCATATTAATAGACCAAAATCCATGATTAATACACCCAGCACCTTGTTAAATCTATGTCAGCTCTAAAGCGAAATTGAGTCCATCCCAGTACTAGCAATGTGTTCCTAACAAGGCAGCTGGTGAGTGTATTTCTTTTGCATTCTTTCTTTCTTTGTTGTTTCAAAGCCACATGTACATTAGCTGTTATTTACATGTAGGCATGTAGTGGGATTTTCGGCACGATAAACAAAAATTTCAATATATAAAATGTCAAGCACTTAAAAAATAACAACATATCACAAAATAGCAATGTGCTTTTAACGTTGTCATCTCATACACACATACAAACAGACAAGCACCTGAAGCATTCGAGGCGCAGTTGAAGAGCGTAATGCCCAGCTTCATACTCCTCTCCATCCATTACTGAGGGAACCTTTTCGGAGTCTTCAACGATCACTGCCACCTCGCTGTCACGTTTACCCAGCATACTTCTGTCATTGATGTTCGCAGAGCCTGCAACAGACACACAGAGCTGGTTAAATGTAGTCTATGACTTGAGCTAACTTCTGCTGTTGGTATGTAAGCCTGTTTTTTTTATTATTTTGACAGATTCAAAGTGGCGGTATCCTGCTAGGGACTGATTTACATATACTGTCATAAACAATAACTTTTCACCTTATTTACATTGATTTGTATTTACAAGAGAACAGATTTAAAGAGAGAAAAGAAGAGGAATATTAATAAGAAGACATGGAGTGCTTTTCCTTTTGTCGAAAGGGTGAGCTGCACTTTATACACCAGCAGGTGGCACAACAGAGCAACGTACCACTCCACACACATTGACACAACAGCATTATTATGCAAATTTATTAGCCATTCACATGGTGATAAAACGAGGAAATAGAACCAGATTTTTAGCATTATCACATTTTGATGGTGTCGAGCCAGAGAAGCCAGTTTCTTCAAATAGTAGCTGGTGAAAACAGCATAAGAAGAGAAAGTGACAGAAGGTGAGATGAGAGAAAGACTAACCAATGATGACTGTATTGTCGTCAGCGATGAGCATCTTGCTGTGGACGTAGATGAGCTCTGTGACGAGGCGTCCCGCTAGCTCAGCATGAGTCCGAAGTCCAGCAAAGGAGATGTAGTTCATCCACTGATCGCCCACTGGGAAATAGAAGAGATCAAAACTAGAATTTAGATAACATTATGGCGGCGGGTGAATCTGAAAGAATATCAGAAGTTTTTTGGGTCTCAGAATACTTAATTTTATAGCTTATCTCTCAACTTACTCTCCTTTTTCAACTGGGAGATGATAGAGTACTCTCCTCTGATCATGGTTCTGAGGGGACAAGAGATTAAATCTCACCACAGCGCATGTAAACGTCACATGAGAAAATCCTAGTTTTGTGATGTGCTTTCTCATTTCCCTTCCCCCTTCCTCTTTCAATACGTTCAATACAAAGTTCAATACAACATTCAATTCTTCTGAAAAAGTCATGTGATCTACCTGTAGTTAAAGTGCATGACAGCCTGGATGGCATTCCCTCCACCAGTGGTGATGTCTCCCTCAAACCCAGGCAGCAGTGGGGTGACCACATACACACGGTATTTCTTACGCTCTCTGTACGCAAACATACATGATTTTTAGACTTAGGCCCAGAAGCATATGCATTACATTTTACATCTTCATTACAGTAAATGGACTGGTTCTTATATAGCGCTTTTCTACTCATCTGAGCACTCAAAGCGCTTTACACAACTTGTGCATTCACCCATTCACACAAGCACATTTTTCTAAGTCCTTTATAGCTAACATTCACACACATTCATACTCCGATGGATGCATCACCACCAACCTTCCGATCAGTAGATGACCTGCTCTACCACCTGAGCTACAGCCACCCTAGTACAATCAAAACCACTTCTTAAACAAACAAGCTGCTTCAATAAAGGGAAGTACTTGTCTGCCCTGATGATCCTTTCAATGATGGCGTCTCCAATCTTGTTGTAGACCGTCCTGTTGTCAGCACAACTAATGAAAAACTGATTCTGAGTGAGACAGAGAAAAGAAAGGGAGGAATGACACAAACCCAAAGTGCAAAAGCAACAACAGTTATGGCTCCCAGGTTTTGATTCCCCCTAAAATAATTATAGTTTTATGTTTCTGACTTTAATTTCACGATGTGAGAAAGCATTTTGGCTGACATATAATAAAAGGAGTCATCTCTGTACTGGGAATATTAACACATTTCAGAAGAGACATGTGTTGTTTTGCATCAAAGTCAAACATCAGTGCTTTGATAATAAAGTTTGAATATCAGCTTCAAAATGCAGTATTTCTCTTTTATTTTTATATCTGACTCTCTCTGTTGTTTTACCTCTATGTAGATGTAGTGCTTGCTCTTGGCGATGACTTGGATGTAGGCATTGTGGATGGACTCCTCGTGGTATTTTATGCCTGCCGACCAGTCTGCAGATGACCGTAACACCTTTTACACACAGACAGAGTACAAATGTGTGTGTTGATTCATTTAATGTTTCACACATACAGTTGTGTTTAGAAGTTTACACACACTAATCATAGCTGTGGATGTCATGGGCTTGTAAAAATCGCAGATTTACAGAAGTTTGGAAGCTCTCTAAGAGCCATTTCTAAACAAAGATTCTTAGAACATCATTTCAAACAATTGCACATGTTATTCTGATGTGTCTCCACTTTGTCATTTGGAAGAACGCCCAATCTGTCACCCTTAGATGAGAGAAAATTTGTTAGGATGTTGAGGAACCACCAAGACTGCCATGAACTGGAGAATGGTGGCAAGTTTTGCATCGCTATATATTGAGAGGCTGCCAACCGAGAAAGAAACTCCTGCTTTAAAATCTAACCTTCAAGCTTAATTGAAATTTGCAGCTACCCTCATGGACAAGCCAAATGCCTTCTAGAGAAAAGTTTTTTGGTTTTATGGACATGGCAGACAAAGACTGAGCTGTTTGACTACAATGGCAAGAGATCTGTTTGGGGGACTGCACCAATTCTGCCAAAAAGACCACTTAAATATCCAATCAGAATTATGTTAGAAGTTTATTGACAGCTATCAAGTGTCTGGTAGAGGTGCAACTTCCTGAAGTGTCAGTGGGGATATATGCATGTTTGAGTCTTTTTGTATATAGGGCTGTGCGATATTACCAAAATCTCATATCCTGATATTAAGACATCTATCATCCGATAACGACATAAATCACAAAAATGTAACATGTTCTATAAATTCTGCGAATCTCGGTCAGCTCGACTTGCGTGAAGTGTTTCCAGCTGGGCGTCGTGTACCTGGAGTCGAGTGTTTTAACTGATGCGTGAAACATTTTTAGACAGTTGTAACGGCCGCAGTTTTCTTTGTGCGTATTTATTACACGCCGTGCTGCGGGGAAAAGTCTGTTCTAACGTTTGAGTCTAAGGTTTATTTTTTAGCACCTGGCGGCTCTTTTTTGCTTCTCATCCGTAAACACTCTGCATCTTTCACGTGATTCAGTTTATTTTGAAAAGTCTCAACAGGATCTTGAGCTTTATTGTGAAAGGTTTATGCGGAACAAGCGGACACGCGGTGGTTTTACGTCGTTGTTGCTAACAACAAGGCATAAAAACAAACGCTTGTCTGTCTGTAGTGTGGTTATATTAAATATAAGAGAAAGTGAGAACTTTAAGAAATTAATATAGCCACTACAGGGAAATAATGAAAAAATATTGCAGTGAAAAAACAGTTTATTTTGCGACACCACGAAACAAACGATAGCGTAAAATGAAACATAGATGTTTTTATCTCGTTATATCGAACAGCCCTATTTGTATACTTTTAACCCTGTGGGAATTACAAAAATCCAAAATAAATTCAAACGTGTGCAACCAAATTTTTTAAAGTCATTGAAGATGTATGTTGAAGATGTATGTTGTACAGTAATTCCACCCGGAAAAGGAACTGTTCAAAGAAATCATTAAAAGCCATGATGATGGACAATGATGTATTTGTAAACTTCTGACTGCAAATAAGAACTACATTCAAGAAAAATAATGTGATTTCCAACTGTGGTTCTCACAATATTCCTGATCAAGTACAGTTTACATATTTTGTCAATGGTTAAAATATATAGTTAAAGTTAACTAATTAAGCATATGAGTAAGTTAAATGTATATTAATAGACGCAAATGGAAAGCTTGCACATTATGTTCTTAGAGATGTCCCTTCAGAAAAGTGGCTAACAAAATAAACGACATAAACAAACACAAGTAATGGAGTCATGATGGTTTGTTTGTCCACTTCTTATGTTAGGCAACAATTTCTCTCAGAGGTCGGTTCCTTTTGGGTAAAAACCCTTGAGTATCAACGCAAGACAAACTTTGTGGTTATATAACTTTCTGGCCCATAGACAGTGGATTTTTTTTTATCATTTGTTTGCATTATGTACATGTTTTGGCTTGTTTTTGTTTCAGTTTGTACTTCATATAAATATGACATTCACAATATGCTTTCTTTTATGCCTGAAATGTTGCCTTACCTGAACTTTAGCATTAACACATTCAGGAACTTGGTATCTGAGCTCATTGGTAGTGGAGTGAGATTTAGGCAGCAGGAATGGATAAGACAGGGAGCGATACTTTGGCTTCATGATCTGCAGAAAAGACATGTGGAGAATTTAGGCAGGAGACGGTAAATACAGTCTCTATAGAGGAAGCATTCTTTTTTGAATAAACAGGGGGAAAAGTTGGTGGCATGGAAAGCTTGAGCACCACGATGAGGATTACATTATATTTTCCATGTCTCCTATTATCCTGCTTTTTATGAAAGTGAGTCATGATTTGAAGTTAACACCATCTTTCCACAACTTATAATAATAATTAAAGTATTTAATTATTAACTAACAAACCACTAAAAAGTGGCTATAAATTCCCAGTTAAAGAAGTTAAATTTTAAGCTTTGCTCCTGCTCTACAACTCTTTGTGTTTTTGGCCAAAGTACACTGCGTGCCTTAGTGAAGTTCCAACGCTGAATAAAGTGTCTTGCCACATCCCGGGCAGCTCTACCATGAACCACTGAGGCAATGTCATGCCAGGGCATTCTGGAAGTGGTGTACCTGTCGATGAAGTCTGCAAAAAGAGGAACAGATCCAAAAAGGATTTTTTTAGATTAAGAACTTAAAAATGTAAAAGAAAAGAATGGCTGCAAAAATATGGAGAAATATACAGTGATAAAAAATAAATAGTGAGACCAGCTGAAACAGTAAGAAGACATAACGTACAGTGAGGTCAGATATTTTAGTGGAGAGGGTTTGAGTGAAAAAAGTGGAACAAATGTTGCCAATGTGACTCAGATCGACTCTATTTAGTTTTCCAGATGATTATATGTTTCCATCAAACTGCTGGGTGCGTCCATGTGTGTGACCGACCATCAAAAGGTTTCTCCAGCTGGATCCAGTCCTTGTACACAAAGTTGCAGTAGTCCTTTCCATGCCAAAAGCGAGTGTTTCCTTGTAATTCTCCCACACCTGTCTTCAGGCTTCGTACCGAACCGCTCCCTACACATGTGCACATATACAGAACAAATGAATCTACAGCCTTTAAAATATCGACTGCATTTGAAAGTACAACCTTTTACAACGCGCCTCTCATTCACTCACATTCACATTCTCACCCACACAAACACCCCCGCTGTCGTGAGAGGTGGCGTAACAGAGCATCTCACTGCCAAAATAGCAAAGCACGATTTTTTTTCCTCTGCCTTAACATACCTGCGCTATCAACACTGCTGACACTGTCCACATGCTGCAGAGTGTGTTTGTGCCTCAGTGTGCGCAGACTGAAGCGAGCCATCCTGTTGCGACCGATTCCCTTCAGCTTAGGTAAATCCGCTGGATCACTGGGCGGTGTCCCTCGTCCATTGCTCTGAGAGACGCCATCAACAGAGGACAAGCCCTTACTGGATGGAGTGTTGGTGGAGCCAGTCTAGGAACATGAAAACGATCTATAACTGCAGTTTTTTACCTTAAACTATAAGGTTATAATGGACACAGCAGTTTTAATAGGTGCTGTTGATTCATGCTCCATTACATTGCCTAGGGGTGTTGCTAATATTTAATACAGCCAAATAAGGTTTATAAGAAAAGGTTGAAGTCACAAGCTAGAGAGACATTTGCTTTTATGTGGATATTTGCGATCTGTTTTGTTTTTTGGTTTTTTTTTGTCCAGCCAAAAGTGGAACAATTCAAAAGGTTTCATTTGCTTTCTGGTCTGAATGGCGTTCTCCAAATTGGAAACTGTCATCACGGGTATTAACAACACATAAAGACTTGTTCTCAATGATGTAAATCATGTGAGGAGTCCAAAGTGTCAATGCAGTTGGAAAGGTGATTAAAAAAAATAGATACTTGATATTATGAAACTTCTTGCTGGTAGCAGCTCTGTAGCTGTAATGCTGTATGAGAGTTACAGAGAATAAATATTTTATGGTCAGCAGAGCATAATGCGATTGAGTACTTGTGTATAGGAATTCAGTTCAATAAAATTAAGAGGTTGCCAGCTTGCATTGTTATACTTCATTCCCCACATGCAGCTGTGTGTAAATGGAGTACTTTTCTCAGTCTGCTCTCATCTGAACGTGTCACACTTCCCACATCCGTCAGCCGATGCTCTCTGTCGTCCCAGCGCCCGTACGCCAGGTCAATACCGCCCACAAAGGCCACTGATTGGTCAATAACTACGATCTTCTCATGATGTGCCCACAGATAGACAGAGGAGGAGACGTGATCCGGATGACGCATCACCTGGAGCATAAACACACAGCACATATGCAGTACACTTGTATACATTGTAATATGAACAAAAATCTATTATTTTATTTATTCTCACGGTTAATCTGGTCCTGGCTATGACATTGAATAATTTGGGAAATGTGGCACTGCATTGTTTATCAAACCTTAATATCACGTCACTTACCTTAATGTTCGGGTTCAGGTGCAAAAGGGTTCTTTTGCTGTAGCCTGAGTTGATGCCCAGAGCGAGCTCCACCTCTTTATACAACATTACAAAAATTCGGACTCCCTGTTGCTGTGGCAAAGGGCAAATAAATTCGGTTATTCACCAAAAGTCTGTTTCTAATTCATCTATAAAAGCAATGGGAACAGATAAGGATGTGGAATATGTGCACTTAAAGTCAGAAATTCCAGTAACACTAATTTCTTTGGCTATGATAAAAAGGCCTTTGATTTATACCATCTACAGATATAGACAGGATGTACTCTTATGTTCAGTTCATTATGAGAAGTTTAGTAAACATAAACCTTGTGAATACTGGGAGAAGAGCTTTATCCAACTAAAAACAGCAACTTTTCACTACAAATGGTTACATTAAAAAAAATAATTAAAAGGAAAGTACAGGGAAACATTTACACTGAGTGCTCAGTACTTGGTCTGATGTGTATTTCTTAATGAATAATGCTGGCAGTCTAACGTGTACATACTGCTTTGCGCTTGAGGATGCAGTCAAGCCTCCACCTGTTTCCTTCTACAACAGGTCTTTTAAGGAAGATCTCTGGACTCAGCCTGACAAAACAAGAGCGACAGAGAGGAATAAAATTCAACACTAAAGAAGGACAATAAGACAATAAGACGGGCGAACAGATGAATAAATGATGCATTCTCACTCATTAAGACAGATTAAAAGTAATGTTTGCCTTCACCAGTCAGAGCTCGCGGCACATTTCCTCATAGAGTGTGACAGACATGACATAATGATATAGTCTCATGAGTCATTCACATTGGCATCCTGAGCTTACATGTCTACAATACCATTGGCTCATATTGCACAGGGTGACACCTCATTGGTTAAGACCATAAGCCTAGTGATTACTGCTTTAGAACACAGGGATTTCAGCCACGTCCAGACAGTGGTGCATTTGGCTCTGTGGGATCATAAACTATTATATTTTAAATTACAATGTCAAGAATATTACACCTCTGTTAGCAGAGACAAATAAGTTGGAAAACTTATTTGATTTGGAAAAATGTAACAGGTCATGGGCAATTTTCTTTACCATGCAAACTAACCAAGCTAGTTGTATCTGAGATAAGATTTCCATCTTTGTAGCATACGTTTCCAGGATACTGTAACCCCCCCCGGGATATAATGCAATGTAGGATGTCATACTGACTAACGTATCACAAGAGAAAGAAAGAAACATTTCAGTTTTATTTTCATATATTAATTTTCATATATTTTCATCTAATTATTTATCTATCTTTTTATAGAGTGCTGGGACAGACTGGCAATCTGTCCTGGATGTTCCATGTACCAGGGTGCCTCTCACGCCATGACATGGATAAACAGATGGATTGATCTACACATATATTTCATAGCCGATAATAAAAACATAATACTTAATAATTTCTCAGGTGATGATAGACAAGACAGGGATAAAAGGGGTGGGGCAGAAGGATAAACTGATATGGAGATTGTATCTTTGTGTCACTGTATTTCTTTGCCCGAAGCAAGGAGATAATAATTAAAGTTAACAACATGTCATGGCTCTATAGTACAGAGTTGTTGGTTATAATGTAATGTTTAACTGCATTTATTACTCTCACAGGTACCAAAATATCAATCTGTTGTTTTGTTCCTTGGAAGCAGCTCAAAAAAGCCATTACTATTAATCTGTATATTATCTTTATCTAGTTCAGAGCCATCAATTGCTATGGAAACATCACCGAGAACGGAGTTTCTTCATGTTCAGGAGACGTGGATATGCACTTTAAAATATATAGGTACTATTATTTTAGAGATGTATTAACTGTGCTTCCAAGCAGCTAGGCAGCTGCTGAGGGCCTCAGTGAGGGCAAAACAAAGGATGTTGAGTAGTTGTGTCAATATGGTGCAAAATTTTCCACTGGGCCTGACCTTTAAAGTTCGCAAAACAAGAAGACTTCAGCATATAGTGGGAGTGGAAAATCTATGACATTACTCTGGTACTGATGCAAAAAAAAAAA